GTCGCGTAAGCCAACACAACCTTACAACATCCAGAGCCTTAAGGAACTCCGGGCGGATCTCATCCACCCCCGGGGCCCTGCCATTCAGAGGAGCTCTTTGACCACCTCAGTGACCTCGTCCCCAGAGATTGGAGAGCCCAACCCAAAGTCCCCAGGCTCAGCTTCCTCAACAGAAGGCATGTTGGTGGGATTGAGGAGGTCTTCGAAGTATTCCGCCCACCGGCCCACAACTTCACGAGATGAGGTCAGCAGCACACCATCCCCACTATAAACAGCGTTGGTGCTGCACTGCTTCCCCCTCCCGAGACGCCGGATGGTGGACCAGAATCGCCTCGAAGCCGTGCGGAAGTCTTTCTCCATGGCCTCTCCAAACTCCTCCCACGCCCGGGTTTTTGCCTCAGCGACCATCCGAGCCGCTAAAGATAATGTTAACATGTTGCAAAAGAAATTTCACACCACTGAGATGAAAGTTGTTCAGATATTTGTGTGTGAAGAGACAGGAAGTGATGTCAAAGGGGAATGTCTGCATGTAAACAGAATGTTGCTACAACAGCTAACAACAAAGATATCTGATGTTTCTTCAGATTATTTTGAGTTTCTATCAAAGAGAGATGAAGAAGAGTTAAAGTTTAAATAATATTGTTTTAATAAAAGAAGACCAGAGTTTATAAAGTGTTCTCTTTTGATGTCACTTCCTGTTTCACTTTGGCTGAGCCAAATCCAAAAGAATATAGGCCAGTTATGAGACAAAATGGATAAAATCATGTGTACTATGCCAATTTTCTTCAGTATAAGATGCTTTCTTTGACTTTTTGTATTTGAAGGATAGGCATATCACAGGTTCTTTAAGAAAACAAAAATAAATTTCCTTCTGCAAGCTCCTGTGAGTGACCAGGGAGTTGTGTAGTCGTGTTTTTCACAACAATCCATCCATCCATCCAACGTGTTTTCAAAGTTGTGTAATGTTTAAGTTCTCTGTAGCAGCGAGTACSYAAACTGAAGTACTCCTTCTCATACTCGGCTTTTAGAACAACAGTACATCATAAAAACTAGAAATCTAAAAATAAGTCATATTTGTTCCTTATCCGCATGGTTTCTACACCTGGACCTGTTTCTGTCAGAGACCCCGAGACACCCATGACGAAGCAGGAAAACAGTTTGTTGCACAAAGTTTCAAGGCACATTTACGAATGTAGTCAACCATCTCGGCAAGATACTACCTTTGGCTCATGTGTCAAGCCAGAACAAAACTCCTTTTCTTCAAACTGAGCTCGTTGACAGCGCTATCTACAACAGGTAAGATACTGATTGTTCATTACATTAAGCTATGCTTTTAAACTTGCTTTTTGATGGGGGATGGACAATGACATCATTTTAATTTTCGTTAACAATTTAGCAAAACAAGTCAGAAACATTTCAAACAGTTTTTTGTGCTTGGTTGCTTTCTTCAGATACAAAAAATAGCTAATTGTGTCGTGGGGGGAAACTTATTAAAGGGATCCCTGATTAGTTGTAACATTAGACTTTATTTGATAAACATATATTTTACCTGTAAAATAAAGAC